GGTTATCCACTCATGAAACAAAATTAACCAAAACTAATCGAACCAAATCTTTTGGCTAGGAAAAGCCAGACTGAATATAGCAAAATCAGTGAGCAAATGTTGGAATTGGCAGTGTTTTAGCAACAAATTTTGATATTTTTTATTTATCAAATTCATGATATCCATTAAAAAAATAAATAAAAGATAGAACTAAAGAGGACAACAACCACCAAACTGTCAAATATTATTTTCTTATCAATGTAAAGCTTTAAATGTTAGTATTTATTAAAAGGTTGTTGAAACAAAATTCTTATTGGTTGAAAAGTTAGTGGAATATGCGACCAATTATTAAACTAATCAAAAAATAAATTTGACGTTAATGTCAAATTTGACTCGTAATCACAAACGCTTTAAATTTAGTTAACAAATAACGCTTCAGTTGAGAAGATTTTTTATATCAAACATGCAATGACATCTCCACTTATAATTTAACATCTCCTTTAGAGATGCTCAAATGTAGGCCTGACATTTTGGACCCAACCCGTTAATATTTGTATTTTGGTGGATGCTTAACAGGTCGGGTCGCTAACGGGTGAACCCGTTAATAACCCGTTAAATAACGGGTCACTTTGGGTCAACCCGTTAGAACCCGTTAACACCCGTTAGTTGAGGATATTTTAGTAATTTTAGTAAAATCTTAATAACAAAAAATAAACTTTATTCAAAAAAAAAAATAATAATAATTGTTAACGGGTGTTAACGGATGACCCGTTAGCTTAACGGGTCAGGTTAGGGTGATCCGTTAGCTTAACGAGTTGAGTTCGGATGACCCATTAACTTAACGGGTCGGGTTGAACTCAACTCAAACCTAATAAACCCGACCCGTTTACAGGTCTACTCAAATGTTCATTTTTGAGAGTAGGCAGCATATTCCAATTTCCCAATGCATGCAGTTTTAGGCTAATGGACAATAACTGAAAAGTGGCCGGTCAGGTTGCTTCTCTAGCAACACAGTCCTTCAAATGGGAATAGTTCGGATTTTCTTTGTGAAGATTAAGGGGACAATTTCATTTTGTTTTTTTGCAGTTAGAAATCAATTTGAATTTTTTTTATTTAAAATTGAATACAAACAGTTGCTGATGAAAATTAACTGTGTACGATAAACGGACATAATAAAATGATGACTCTGAAGAGGATCCTTATCCCTTCAAATGGATCAAAGACTCGCTAGTTTCACTTCACGCATGGCTTCTATGTTGCACCATAAAAGCAAGCCAACAAAATGTTAGAAAAAGGGGCTGTAAATTTTTGTTACCTAAAAATATGTAAACAAGGGGTAACTTTTCCTCGCACTCTGTCCCAAGTCTCAGTTATTTCAAATCAGCTTGCCCTACAAGCAAAATAAAGGGGTAAAAAATGGATCCAGCTTATCTGCCCTTTCAGTTCTCATACTCTCATCTCTTACTATTTTATGCGATCACGGTTAAGCTATGTCAACATTTTATATTAATTTTTTTATAAAGATAATAAGACAAAAAACACTAGTGATATAAAATGTTGACGTGATTTAACCGTGACCGTACAAATATGAGGGGATGATAGTGTATGGGAACTGGGAGGGCAGAGAAGCCAGATCCGTAAAAAATTTGACACTCTGACCGCCAATTCAAACAGTCCATGTCAAAATGTTCATGGAAGGGGATTTTTTGGTTTAACATCCAATGTCAAAGATCTCCGTGTATAGTATACACTAATTGCATACTAGGAAATTCTAATATGTAGTGAAAATTTTACTATGCTTCGATATCTGACATGTTATCAGAATAATGAAATGTTGGATCTGCAGTTCAAGATTCGAACGACCAAAAATTTCAGTGTATACTGTTTGTACCATACTTGACCAATCCCGAAACTACTGAGCACCGGTTAACGTTATACCGTCAAGGACCCATAAGAGTTTCCCTCCAACCAAGATGCCAATCACAGCGCGACACGTGTCGACATCAGAAGCCAATCATAGCGCGACACGTGTTAACATCAGAAGCCAATCATAACACGACATGTGTCAATGTCAGAATTAAACAAGAAACTCTCTTCTATAAATAGAGATCATTCTCTCACAATATTTCCAAATGTCATTTGTACTAAATCATTCACCAGTACTTACAAAAGGAGAACTTGAACCTATGTACTTGTGTAAACCCTTCACAATTAATGAAAACTCCTCTACTCCGTGGACGTAGGCAATCTGGGTGAACCACGTACATCTTGTGTTTGCTTCCCTGTCCCTATCCATTTACATACTTATTCACACTAGTAACTGGAACAATCTAGTGAAGGTCACAAACTTAAACATTTTCTGTTGTACCAAAGTCCTCACTGATTTCGTGCATCAACATATACTATACATATTCACAAAAATTTATATGTAGTTAAATTTATTCTATACTTCTGTGCATGACATGTTTCGAATGATGAATAGTTAGATGCAATGGCAGATCCAGAATTCTAACATTGGTTGATCCCAATATAAAATTAAAAAAAATTAATCGATAAACTACCAACTCCCACATGTTGCTTAATAAGAAAACTTGCTTTTAGTGATTTTGTTTTAAATGACTTGACTCAAAACAACGTTATTTTGGCAAAGTCTTAAAAAAACATAATACTGCACCTGTGGTCCGCCGCTGCACTCTTCTCCTCCACCACATGCCCAAACTTAAATGGTCTCCAAGGGTGCGTTTGGTACGTGGGATGGGACGGAACAGAGTGGGACGGAACCGTTCCGTCCCACGTTTGGTGCCTTAAAATTGTGTGGAACGCGCGTCCCACGGAACGAAAAAGGGTCAGATTTTGGTTCCCCCTCCCCCCCCTGGAACAGGTTTTTCCATCCCGTGGGACACAATTTTTTTTTTTTTTGGACAACAATACCCCTTTTATTTTTCATTAATTACATTGTCTACCTCCCTTCTCTCCCGTAACCTCCCTCTGTTCTACCACAAACCCAGTAACCCAATCCCTTCTTTCCCGTAACCTCCCTCTTCATCCACCACAAACCCAGTAACCCAATCCCAGCAAACCCATCCGACGACGACGACGTCACCACCGTCACCAGCAAACCCCTCTTCTTCTCCGGCGTTGTCACCACCGTCACCAGCAAACCCTCTTCTTCTCCGGCGCCGTCACCATGGAGCCGTCACCAGCAACCCCTCTTCTTCTCCGGCGCCGTCACCATAGCCAGGCCGACGACGACGACGACGCTGCACGGAGGATGATGACGACGCTGCAGGGAAGACGATGACGACGCTGCAGGCCGACGACGATGACGACGCTGTAGGCCGACGACGACGACGACGCTGCACGGAGGATGATGACGACGCTGCAGGGAAGACGATGACGACGCTGCAGGGAGGACGATGACGAAGCTGCAGAAATTGATTGAAATGAATTTTGGGATTTTTCTGTGTTTGATTTTGGGATTTTTCTGTGTTTGATTTTGGGATTTTTCTGTTTTTTTTTTCTTCTTGTAATTGTTTGCTGGTGACGAGATCTGAAATTGATTGGAGGGTTTGCTGGTGACGAGATCTGAAACTGGATTGGTTGCCGAGAAAACGAAGGAAAACGAAAACTGGGGTCTGATTGTTTGAGTTCATACTCGCACTCAGCAATTGTACAAACAAGGCTAAGTTAGTCATTTAACACGAAATCCAAACCGTTCCGTCCTACGCGTACCAAACATAACACGAACCTCCGTTTCGTTCGTCCCGTCCCGTCCCGTCCCGTCCCGTCCCGTCCCGTCCCGTCCCGTTCCGTTCCGTCTGCGTACCAAACGCACCCCAAAGGTCCTCCCAGCCATTTATTCAGACTTCTAGTTGGTCCCAGGACGACCCAAGTCCCTTAATGCGTTTGTCACTGGCTAACCGTTTAATCAAATATTCCAGATGATACTATACACTAAAATACTCAATGCTTACTAAAATGGTCCATATATGTACTTGGTGGGACTTATTCAACGTTGCTCATATCGGATGATATCATTGATATGTATGCAGGTCAATAGTATTCCTGATGGGACCAAGCAATTTGAATATCCTCTCCCACTCACCAATTTGCACGCATGGATTCATAGCTAATTTGTAATTGCGGCCAAACACAAGGTACGTGGAATGTGGATGGTCTTGGAAAAAATAGGGAACTTGACCAAAGTGCTAGCCAAAACAAGAAGAAAGCAATTGAACTAATACTACTATTCATATGGTCAAATTTAGTTAACAGAATTAATGATCAGGAAAACGAAATTTACAAGTCAAAAACTTTGACAAACGTTCCAACTTCACCAGAAGAACAAGAAAAAGGTTGAGGAAGCAAAATAGCATGTTGTGTTATTTCAAAGTCTTAATTTTTGTTGACGGGATAAGCAGTATGCCAGTTTCACAGTATAATTTGTCATTTAATATTTTGGAAATTTGAGAAGGAGTTTGGAGCTCGAATGATTAAAAGTATTTACCCATGTATCTTAAGTTTTATGTTCAAATCCCCAACCAGGAGTCACTTTTCTAATTCTTACTTTTGTACTTCTCCGATTCATGAATTTCATCATTTTGAGTCGGTAAACACGCTATAATCCGATGTCCTTACAATAGAAGTGTTTTTAACAAAATCTTATTTAGCGCTCGTTTGGATGTACTTTTAAAATAACTGAAAAAGCTTTTAGAGAAAATTTTTGGGTTTCAAAAGCGCTTAAAGTGTTTTTCCATGATTTACTTGCATATTTACTAATGATTGGTTCTAAAAATATTTTTACTAAAGCGCTTTCAGTCATTTCAAAAGTACATCCAAACGAGCGTTAAATTTTGAACTGGGTCACACAATTTATCTCATTTTAAGGCCCAATGGCCTTCCCCAGATTTGATTCCTAAATTAGAGCTAACATTCCAATTTTGATCTGAGGCCCAAGGCCCAAATACACGCCAGCCGTAGATTAAATTTGCAAGATCAAATCACGCACCGATCAAACCAAATCAGAAAATCGACTTCCGTCTCTCTCTCTCTTGCAGTTTCCAATTCCCCTGTGCCCTACGCCCAATTTTCTCCTTCTCATTTCTCGACGAAGCGAAAGCGGAACCCTAGCGCCCAAATCTCAGGCTCTTTGGCTACCCTCCGCACGCGCTCCAGCGCTCAAGCTCTCCAATCAATCTCGGGTTTGATACTCGTCCTGCTTCCCCCATCGCTTTCCATTTGTGGGCATTAATGCAATTAGGGTTTTTGATTTGGGGGTTTTGTGGGATTTAATTATACTGTATGTCTAGGTTTTCTTAGGCGCTGGCATTGTTCAATGAGTATTCGATTCATGTCTTGCTTGTAAAAACTGTGCGCGATTGTGTTTAGGCTTTCTTCGACTAATAGGTTTTGAATCTTTGATTATTTTGTTTGAGTTTTGAATCGATATTATTTTGTGGATACGATTCTCTAATTATTTTGTGGATATGTTTTACAAAAAAAGTAATTATGATTTCTGCTGTTTCGATGCGAATTCATTTTGTTTTTTTACATGTAATTATGAATTTGTCAGCAGATACACATTTTTGGAATGATTGAATAGCGTTCGCTTATCAAGTCGACTAGGTAAAGGGGTTTAGTGCTGGCTTGGTCTTTAGCCCGAGGACTCTTGGATGTGTGTGTGGAAGGAGATGTTGTTAATGTCGCCCCCTCATTTATGGGTCTCAATCAGTAATTATGGAAGTAGAGATTAGATGGATACCTTATAGGTTCAGCTACTATGGGTGATAGATTTAGGGAAGTTCCATCGAGCAGGGTTCTTTACATGTCTAGGTGAAGTATTATTGTTTGATTGATGAATTTCATCTTATTCATAATTTCCCGTTCCGTTTCCCGGGTTTATGTATTTTTTATTGCAGCATAAATCAGGAAGATGGGCTTTCTGATTATTGCTCCAAGTAGTACAACTTATACTACATGTAATTCAATGAGAAGTTGGGTCAAGAAACAGAATCCATGAAGCTGGAAAGTGCATCTTTTGACAAGGTTTTTTTATGATAAAATTAAAACCCATAATGTGGCCGTATGATTTATCAATTATGTGAGCCTAAAGACTCATGTCTCCATCCCTACCCTCGATATGATATATATATATATATATGTATGCAACGCTGCAAGAATTAGTAAAAGTAAGTTAACTAAGGGATATGAATTTGTTTTCCAGGGTTTTCGTTTTTTGTTTTTCAATTATGTTAAAGAGGGCTGAGTAAGGTAAATTCATAGATATATGTCAATCTTGCTTGATCTCATGACACAGATGCTTTCTTTATGATAGATGGCAAGCGCTTGGACAAATATGAGCTTTGCAATCATACATAGGGATATAGAGAGGGAGTGGGAGAAATCATTTTGGACTTATGGGTATTATTTTTTATTATGGGAGATTCTTGCTCACTCTCAGAAGATCTATACATCTGCTAAAATTCTGGAGAGGATGAGGAGATCAAATTTTATTTCACTATAAATAATGCTTTGGAGCACCTTTGGAGCAAATGAGCAATGGAGCTTGTGGAGCACGGCTCACCTCGAGGATTGCTCTCTTGGTTTGCTTCATGTTTGGTTTTGTTTTTCATTTCATATTGTCAACAGAGTGTATGCAGGACGATAATAATAATGGATACCAAAGTTTTAGTGTCATTCTATTTTGAAAATTGTTGGACAAAACATTTACTGGAATTGTTTATTTTTACTGCAGTAAAAGGTTTGTAGCCGGAGTCTTCTTCTGTTGTCAAATATGAGTGGCCGATTTTCTCGCACGATCTACGTTGGCAACCTTCCCTCAGATATAAAAGAATGGGAGGTTGAAGATCTATTCTACAAGGTTTGCATGAAATTTCCCTTATAATTTTGCTTGTTCTTTGTATATAAGCTTCCTGCACTTCTGTTGAACTTTATCTCTCATTCATTTTGAATTATTTTCGATTTTCTGATGCATATGAAAATACATTAATTTACTTAACAGCACATGGCTCAATGTATGTGTATGATATGCAGTGTCAATTTTTGTTGAAAATTAGAAAACCAATTCAGTGTTTGCACTTTACTTTCATCATGATTCATGTGCTAGTCATGTGATTTGCTGATGTAAAAAGTATTTTGATGATAATCATTCTAAAATGGATTTTCTTTTGCAGTATGGCCGCATAGTGGATATTGAACTGAAGATTCCACCGCGTCCTCCTTGTTATTTCTTTGTTGAGGTACCTATAATGGTTGTATGTGCTGGATGCATGCATTACCCTGTTGGTTCTGTTATGGTCCTATGGATTACTATGTTTTTGCAACAGCCTGTTATCTGATGACTGGTCAATACTCTGTATTTGGTTTTCAGTTTGAGAGTTCTCGGGATGCAGAAGATGCAATCAGGGGGCGTGATGGGTATAACTTTGATGGGTGCCGTTTAAGGGTACTAAAAGATCCCTATTACTTGCTAAAACAATCTTTTTTTTTCTTTTCTTTCATGTCTTTGATCGCTTCATTTATAAATGTCTCCTTTAACCTCAATACAGGTTGAACTTGCCCATGGTGGTAGGGGCCCATCTTCAAGTGATCGTCGTGGTGGGTATGACCGAGGTAGCAGTGGCGGAGGCAGTGGTGGGGGCCGATTTGGTGTTTCACGTCATTCTGAATATCGAGGTGTATTTTCTAGGATAGTACATTACTTTAATGAGTTAGATATGTTTTGCAATGTTCTACATAAGGTTCAGTTATATTTTTTTCTTAACTGTTGTTTACTGCTTGACACACAATTTCATTTTGTCCAGTTATTGTTCGTAATCTCCCTTCTTCAGCCTCGTGGCAAGACTTGAAGGTGTGGAAACTTTTACTCGCAGTTTTATATTCAAATAACGTTTGTGCAATACCGGCGACCTTACTGGTTGTTGATTTCAGGATCATATGCGTAAAGCTGGTGATGTGTGTTTTGCTGAGGTTTCTCGTGACAGTGAAGGTATAGATTCTAAGGATCAGAGAATAAAATGTCTACGCTCCAAAGAGCATATCATTTTATCAAAGACCTTGGTACCAAACAGCTGATCTTCATCTTGCATATGCTCTCAAATTTGTATCATCTCACCTAATGGAATTTTTTATATGCAGGGACTTATGGCTTAGTTGATTATACAAATTCTGATGACATGAAATATGCTGTAAGTTGTTGAAACAAACTTGAAATACTGGACCTTATCCTGCTATTATGCTCCTCCTAATTCACTAGCTCACGTTTTTTTTTTTTTTTTAATCTTTTTTCAGATCCGGAAGCTTGATGATACTGAATTCAAAAATCCTTGGGCAAGGACTCATATTCGGGTAACCTTTACGTTTAAGGAAGTTTTCTCTTGCTGTCCTTTCTTTGGGCTATATATTTCCGTACCATTGTGAATCATTGATTTATGTTAAATATGTTTGTATTTTGTAATCCTGGAACAAAGTATTTGAGAGGTCTAGAGTAGTTTATGTACTTATGCATTACAGTAATGATGGTGATAGCTGGGCTTAGAGGCACTCTGAAAACATTGTGATGTTTGTTTGTGCATCAACTGTACAGGTTAAATACTACGATAGGAGTCCCTCAAGGAGTCGTAGCAGAAGCCGAAGTCGTAGCAGAAGCCGAAGTGTGAGAAGGAATCGGAGGTACTGGACCCACCCCAATTCTTTTATTTATTAACTTTTATCATTATCTTTCTCTGTTTTCTATTTTTTTTTTTGCTTTCATTTGTGCTACATCTTGAGAGATGTTCTGTATCATGCAGCAAGTCGTTGGACCGATCTGTATCAAAATCAGTATCAAGATCAGTATCAAGATCTAGGTCTCCATCGCCGGTTAAATCTTCCAGGTATTTGGCTTTGTTAATACATTTTCCGCTAGGTGGTTCTAATCCTCTAATTCCCCTTTCTAATATTTAATGCATGTATATATTATTGCAGGCCACGATCAATATCAAGGTCAAGGTCAAGGTCCAGGTCAGAATCACCCCGAGCGGTAAGTGGAATATATTCTGATAAAACGAGTTCATGCGGCACATACCATAGAAATGTGATATTTAAAAACTTGAAAGTGTAATTTGAGTAAAGAAAAGATGTTCCAGGATATATTTGGTTTAGGGTAGGATTTAAAGAATGACCTAGGGCAACATGTGTCTCATACTTCTGATTCCATGGGTCTGACTTATGATGGATGTATGCCGGCTGCTAACATATAATCCTTAGTTATCCTAACTAGCAAAGTGCACATAAGAACAGAGAAAAGGATGAATAAAAGCTAAGTTGTGGAGAAAAAAAGCAGAAGAAAAAATATAAATTATGCTTTTAGTTGCCTCGAGTTGTAGATTGTTTGTGGTAGATGGGTACCCGAACTATCTTTTCTCTATCCTTTTGAATTCAAAAGCTTACCACATTCTTGAAATAAAGACCACGTTTATTTGATACCTTTGATGCTTACTTTAAACTTGATCTATTTTCAGGCTCGGTCTGGTAGTGCCTGATTCTCTGGCAAGTCATCCTCGCGGCGTCCTTGTGTGTTAGATCTGCGAAGATTTATCATATCTGAGTGAACTTGTTGAAAATTTTCGTTTTTAAGAACCTTGGTTATCTTTGTTATGGCCAGTATGTGTGCTTTTGATACTGCCTAGTTATTATACATTTAAGGATTGCGTTTGTTAAATTATCGAGAAAACTCGGGTTGTTTTTTGGTGCTTGGTCTGTTTCGGGACATATTCAGTAGGCGTTATAACGTCGGATTTTCTGTTGCTTGCTTCGGTGTTTTGATGTATGTGGTTAAAACAAGACATGAAATCTGTTGGTTATAGATGTTGTAGTTGTGACTCTACTACCTATTGTGTTGGCTATTAGTTTATAGGCGAAAGAAATTTTGTTTGTATCGATGGCGGCAACAACCGTTGACTGCCGTCGGTAGCATTTTTGCGATGTGTTTCCGGCAACAAGTCGGTATAAATTAGCAAGATGGGTACATGCATTTACGTTTTAATCATCGAATGGGGAACTTGTACTTGGGACGTCTATATGGTGAAAGGGGATAAACACTTCTTTCATACAAGCGTTTCGTGAAAAGTGATTTCTATTAAATTAAAGTGATAAGTGATTTCTATTAAACTAAGAACTTATTTGGATGTGCTTTTAAAATGATTGAAAATGTTTTTAGAGAAATTGTTTTTGGGTTCCAAAAGCCCTTTAAGTGTTTTATGTAAGAAGCACTAGTTATGTGCTTCTTTCAGGAAACATTTTAAGTGATTTTTCAATATTTACTTGCATTTTTACTAAGAATTTGTTCAAAAAATATTTTCACTAAAAGTGTTTTCAGTTATTTTAAAGAGGTATTTATCAATTTCCCCTTGAACTTCTAACTATTGGCCAATTTCTCCCCTCAACTTTAATTTTGGCCAATTTCCCCCCTCAACTCTCATAATTAGTCAATTTCCCCCCTCAACTTTAATTTGGCCAATTTCTCCCCTCAACTCTCATAATTAGTCACTTTGCACCCTACTGTTAATTTTTTAATTTGATCATAATTAAACAAGTGTGTGTAAGAAACTAAATAAAATGTATGTTAATCATTTTCCTATGTCTTTATCCTATTACAAATAGATTAAAATTTAGAATTTTACAATTTATCATAGATAGTATTATTAGTCATAACAAATCAGTATGGAGTAATTTTATTTGATTTTTTACTATACAAAATTGATAACGAAAAGGATTGATGTGTACATTTTTGTATGTGAATACAATTTTCTTTATAAAAGTGAAAGCTAAATTCAAGTAAATTGTGGAGAATCGAGCTTTAGTGCAAAAATGGCTAGTCAATTCATAATTTTCGACTCCTTATTAAGAATAACACATTTTATTGAAATAGGTCTGATCCATGAGTTTAGGATTATTATTTCTTCTTCTACATGCTTTAAACCCGATTCATAACTTTTTCTTATAATCAACCCATATCACATACTAATTGTATTATGTTATTGTACATTTTACCCTATATTATGCAGGTGAGTTTATGTTAATTTTAGTACTTTGTTGGAAGTTATTAGAAAGATTGAAAGAAAAAAAAAAGAATAGATGGAAAAAAAAAAAAAAAAACAGTAGAGTGCAAAATTGACTAATTATGAGAGTTGAGGGGGAAATTGGCCAAATTAAAGTTGAGGGGGGAAATTGACTAATTATGAGAGTTGAGAGGGGAAATTGGCCAATGATCACAAGTTCAGAGGGGGAATTGATGAATACCTCTATTTTAAAAGCACATTTAAACAAACCATAAAGTTCTTCTTGGCATATTCGTATTTAGAAAGTCAAAGAAACAAATGGGCCTTTTTCAGAATTTGCCGTGGCCCAAAAATCAGTCACACCACCGATCCGAATGGGCTTTCTTTTGGGGCAACTCCCACACTACCAACTCTGCGATATAAAACCCCAATTTCCAAAACCCTAGTCCTTTCAGTTATACTTCTTCCTCCGCTAGTTTTTTCACGTCATTCATATCCACCACAATCTAACCTAATTCTCATACGTCAAGGTTCATCAGGGCTCCCCTATTTGGATTATTGATCAGCATTTATCATTATTTTTCAATGAGTTTATTTTTTTAGCTTGTTTAATTCTTCTTCTTTCTCTCACCTTTTTGTTTATTAATTCTTCTTCTTTCTCTCACCTTTTTGTTTATTCAATGAAACCCACCGTAAAAAGTATACTTGTATTTTGAAATAACCATTAAAAAATTCCAACAAAAACTAGGTTTAACACACTGAGTCATAAAGGGAAAAGCTAAAACGACTCGATAGCACACTACTACAAAAGTGGCTTATTATGTCGGTGGTTGGTGTCGGTTTTCTATAATATACTGGCGGATAAGACATTTCCGACACCCTCTTTACATGGTGTCGGAATTAATGTCGGGTATAACCGACATAAAGTGTCTATGTCGCTTATAACCTGTGGATGCAAATTTCTTCATCTTGTTCTTGGACAAAATTGCACCTGCAAAACAACTAACACCTTTGGTCAAGGCCACGAGCCTCATGCAGCCATGATGAATTGGGGGCCGGGGGGGGGTGCTTTCGCTGAAGAACCTCCGATGCCAAAGTTAGAATTTTGAGAATTTAGAGCATTTTGCAAGAGAATTGGAATTGAGTTTTGGAGATAATGAGGAGGGTTTATATAGGGGTGTGGCCGGCCCCCTTGGGAGAGGAAGGACCGTCATCTTGGATGATTTTGTGGGTTAGGTTCTTGATTTGTGGTTAATTAATATAATAAAAGATGAATGATTTGGGGGTTACCTTGTGGAGAAGATATGATGAGGATAGATGAAATAGGTTATAAATAAATACCTATTTTGGGCACTTTTGACTTGATTGAAGGATGATTGTCAACTGCTTGCGCGTAGGAATTCTGTTGTTCCCTGAGGGTAATTTTGTCATTTTCACCAAAAACTCCACGTGTCGCCCCTTGATTATTTTTGGCTCCACAAATGCCCCCACACCTATTGGGCTACTCGTAGAAAAGGGCAACATGTGTAGAGATTTTCTTGCTTTGGGAAACATAGGATTGTTTCATATTTTGATGTAGATTTCCTCTTTAATAGGAAATTAGATCCTTCTAGGAAAGGGAAATAAATTTCTCTCCAAGCCTATTTAAGTCCACCTTAAGTGGATTATTAAATCAACTTTGGAGATCGATTTATTCTACCCTACAAGAGAGAGAGAGCTTAGAGGATATTTGTTTCCCTTCCTTTAGCAATATTCTCTACATCTTACCCGTGTAAAGGATCGTCTTTCATTGCTTCTAGGTAAGAAAATTAATTAATTTTTTTGTCTTCATAATTTTTAGGAGCCTCGGGGCTTGAAATTTAGCTCGACAAAGGTTGAGGAGGCTTGAAAAAAGTGGCTGAAAAGCCACGGCATAACGGTTACCGTGGGTTGACCTTGTGATGGCGCCTGGGTGCTGTGGTTTGGGCCTTTGTGACTGGGTCGTGAGGAGAAAAGTGGCCCGGGGGCGCCAACCCCCTGTTGGCTAGATTGGATCGTGTGGCCTTTGGGCCGAGAAGAAAAAAGGGAGAGAGGGTAGCCAGCACGGGCTGGGTTGCTAATTTCGGGCCACATGGCTTGATGTTTTTTTTTTTTTTTTTTAAGCTGGTTGGGTCGAAGGCTGCCCTTCTTTTTTTGTGTGCAGCCACCTAACAAATCTTCATTGCATCTTTATAGAATTTATTCAAGCATGTCTTCCTCGATCCACAAGAATGATAATGGTGTGCCGCCATTGTATCGTCAAGGCGGGTCTGGTTACTTCAAGGCTGCTCAAAATTAGCTCTGATGACTTGTTTAGAGACTTCCTCAAGGCATATTGGCACGCCATTCCTTCAGGAGTGCGTGTGAAGTGTGTTAAGGATGGTAGCAGCCAAGAGCCATGTGATGGGGCTCGGAGAGCCATCAAGTTCCACCTTTACTATTTTGTGTTGGGGTTTACTTTTCCTATGTCGCGTTTCTTCCAAGAAGTGCTCTGCTCCATGAGATGTGCCCCCACCCAATGTTCTCCGAATGCGGTCCGTGTGATGGTGGGATTCCACAATCTAAGCCAATTCTTTGACTTAGATCTAACCGTCAACAAATTTTGGTACTTCTTTGACATAGGTCACATTGAGGTAGTTGGGTAGCTATGATCTCATCATAGGCTTTTTGATAACTCGAGCAAGGGAGATCATAACTAGGCCAATGAGACTTTGAAGATAAGTGGAGAATGGGAGTTTGATTCTTCCTCCGAGCTGCATGTTCCAATGGTCTTCATATTTGGTAAGTAAGATGCTTAATCTCTCAGCTACTTTGTATTTATGCTAAGCTGCTCTTTAATTTTATGATTGTCTTCCGCTGCTTTTGTAGATTTGGAGTTTGGCTCAACTCTTAAGACTTCTCCAAACATGAAGAAAGTGCATGTTGCTCTGGGTATCCTCTCTGAGTACCGTGAGTAGCGTTGGTTGATTAGTCATCTTCATAGGGAAAAAGGTGGGCTACCCTCGAGAATGGAGATAAAACGAATCAAGGCTGAGGTTTTGGCTTGTCCTATCACTATGGTGAAGCCTGCTATAAATGAAGGTGGGAAAAAGAGGTTTTCCTTGCATGCTCAAGAGACACCTGCTGAGAAGATGCTGATGACTTCTTTTGCTACTCGCGGGGGTTCACCGGCTGCTTAAAAGACACCTGCTGAGAAGAAGCCGAAAACTTCTTCCGCTGTTGGCGAGGATTCACCAGCTACTCCCAAGCTTGTGATTGACTTGACTTCCTCCAAGGACGAGAAAGATGAGGCTGCTAGATTTGTGCCGGTGGAGCCTGCTGTTCTGAAGGCTACTAGTTCGATTGCTAATAAGATTGCCTTGCCTAGCATAGAAGTTCCTCCATGCCTTCGGTCTTGAAGTTTAAGCCAAATCGTCCATCTGGGGCTAAGTCTGGTTCACATTTGGAGAGGCATGCTACCATGAAGAGTGACAAGGTGCCTTTGCTTATTAAAGTGGCGTCAAAACCCATTCCCTCTGCTGTTAAAACCGACTTGTTTGCTAAGAATAATGAGACTGCTCGTGCAGGTAGTCGTGAGAAATCCACCAAGTCTGTTTCTGGGGAAGTTACTGAGATTTGTGCGTTTTTGAAACCAGATCTGCTTGAGGACATGGATGTATGTGCCAAGTTTGTTGATGGTGTCAAAAGGGTTGTTGGCCCAAGTTCATTTGCGAAGTATACGACCGAGTATAGGAGGACTGCTCTGCTGGCCATGATGTAGAAAATGACAATTCTGGCAGCTGAGTTTATGTTTCTTGATCAAGAGGAT